TCATGTTGCTAACCATATAGTCAGGGCCATGATAGAGGGTGATAAGGACCCTTAGAAACCAGTTTGCCAAGAACATTGTTGCCCTTGTCTCTACTAAATGTGGGGAAGGCAGATCCCATCATCACCCTATATCTGGTCTCACTTCTCCAGGCTCTCGCTGGAATGGGAGCTGAATTTATCCCTGCGGAAGGATGGCAGAATGTTGTTCACACAGTGCCCCAGAGAGAATGAGAAGGGCTGTGACAGAGGAAGTACCTTCACGCTCACTGCTAATGGTGCTAGAAAAACAGCCACCTCGATCATTATATACCTGAAGCACAATCCAGTGCCCATCTTCCTTTCAGAAGGACTTACTAGAAAACGTAGCTGGCATGAGTTGGAAGCATGGTCCACAATCTGAGACTAAGACAGAGGTGGGCAGGAGGGAAGTGGGAAGCAAGGGTAAAACAAACAAAAAGAGAACTATGTCTTTAGGTTAACCTGTTAGGATTCATTTAGTGCCGACTCTGATAAATTAGTCATTCGGGAATATTGAAAAGGATGTGAAATTTAGTGGGAAAGACTAATACTTAGTGATGTTGAATGGATCAGGTATCTACCACTACCTAACATGCCATGGAAGGTACACTTTGCCCACTGCCCCCACGAAGGGAGTGTTTTCAAGGATGCAGCTTTCAGAGAGCACTGTGTTGTTGAGACTGTCTGGTCTGAATGTGTGACTGAACCCCAGTAAGGCCTCTATATAAACTTTGAAGGTTCTGGCGGGTGGGTGCAGAGATCTACTTGTCTTGGCAGTTAAGTTCCCATGTTTATTACACTTGCCACCTACCAATCTGGAGCGGTCGGCCTCTTTCTTCCGCCTCTCCATGACCACTGTGTCTGGGGAGCCCATTTACAAACCAAGGTCCGGCACAGATTCAAAGGGTGCAGATAAATTTCACCTCATGATGAGAGAAATAGGCAAGAGCAGGACTTCTGGGGGAGGGGGATGTTTGTGGCCATCTTGGAAATTAACCTACCACGTTTCCAAGGTGGGTGAAGGTATAAGGAAGTTTAAAATAGAAGAATTGCAACGTGCATCCTGGGCGTTAACCAGTCTTGTGCTCTTTGCCTTTAACCAAGTTTGCAGGTGAACTGTGAAGGTTTCCTTTTAAGGGAGGAAAAGGGTTATGTGAGCACCCTAATAAACACCTATCACTTGGGATGGACAAGAGCCAGTGGCTCCATCACTATAGAAAGATGTTTATTGCAGTCACAAGTTTTTCTATATTGCTCATCTACAGCTGTTTTGGTGATTTTGAAATAAAGTTAATGATACCATAAGGACATTCCCATGCTTGCTCTGCTAAATATGCAACCATAATAAATGTTGCTGGCCATCTGATTACATTAGAAAGGTAAATGAGCTTAAATATGGCTTATCACTTTTGTTTAAGAAACTAAAGCAGGTAATTTGTGAAATCCACAAATATTCCAAATGGAAATTACTTAATCACAAGAAGCATGGGCAATTTTGTGAGACTTTGATAATTTCAATAATCAAAAGGGGGGAGGAAAGTAACAGGATGAAAACTAATGTTTTCTGCACACCTTCTATGCGCCAGGCCTGTTGCATACATTCACTCCATCACGACTTCTAATAATTCTAAATGTTAATAATATTATCACCCTTTTTACAGATGACAAATCTGAAGTCCCACGAGGCAGATGACTTGCTAAAAGCAATCACTCAGATAATTCGAATGCTGGGACTCCACCTGAGTCACTCCCCATTGTCTAGCTCCTTTCTGATATTTACTGAGATTGATACATATTTTATACATATATTCAAATTATGCATATTTAGTCTACTTAAGAAATCTATAATTATACCATGAGTATTTTCAGCTGCAACACAGCTTCATAATTATCCTCCTTAATAGCTACATACTAGTTCATATTTGTTTGATATGTTGGACCACAATGTATTTCACCTTTCTCCTGATTTAGACATCTAGGTTTCTTACCTTAGGGCCCAGAATCATGGCCGAGATTTAATCTGGTTTAAAAAAAGATTTCTAGAGATGGTTGTCATTATTCCCCTGGACAAAACATTATTTTTATAATTCATCTGGGCCTTGTCACTCTTTTTTTTTTTGTCTTTTCCTTGAAATGCTATTAAGCTTAGACCTATTTAGATGATTATGGGGGGGTTAAGGGCATGAAATTAGGCACCCATTTATGTGCAGAACATTTCTACTCACTGCATCCAAACACCTCCTGCTTTTTCCAAGAATGAGTCTTTGCTCAGAACAAATAGGTTTATGCTGTAAAGCAGTACCTTCAGACTCACCAGGAGGTGATGTCCCAGAACACAGCCGGGAGAGATCAGCATGCATGTCCTGCCTCTAGCCAGTAGATGTCTCTATTTCATTCACCCTCTAGGGTAGGTTCCTCCTGAATGGGAAAGCTTGGGAGCAAAACTGATGGCTGGAAGGTTGTTCCATCCCTTTTGTCACTTTCCACCAGCCTCCACCTTCACTCTCACTCCCTCCCCCAGTGTTCTGATCCGTGGCATAAAGGTAATTGAAACAACAGTATCATTTGAGTTTAAACACATTCCCTACATTACCAAATCAATTTGCCATGGGACTGGGAAGGGAAAGCAATCTCTACAGAGCCCAAGACAGTGCTCTTTAAATAGTACCATACTCTGAACTAAAAGCTGTATTACTGAGTCATCACAATTAATTACACTTGTAGGTGAGAAGACAGGATTTAACGCTCTAATGGGATGTGAATTTAGGCCCGTTATCTCACCCCATTGCTATTTAAAACAAAATCATTTTTCCACGGAGGCATCTGCAACTAAGGAAGGTTTCAAAGCTCAAGTTTAAAGATGTCCCTGGCAACCAAATATTCCTGTTTTAGCTTACTGAATGTTTTAATATGCACATTTGGATTTACTAGATTCTCATCATGAAGGGCATCTCCTTTTGTTTGGGGATTTGATAAAAGAGAACTAGGAGGTTGGGAAGGTCTATTATTTCCATGAGAAATTTTTCAGGTGTAGGAGATGTGCAGGACGGACGAGTTATAGGAGAAGTAAAAATATCGTCTCAAAAGAAGCGTCTGAGATGTGTGTCCATGCAGGATGACACACCAACACCTCATCACAAGGGATTAATTGATGGGTCCAGCGCAAGTGGCAGGGACTGGGGAAGGAGCTGAGAAAGTAAGTCCTTGTTCTGCAGGCGGGAGAGGGAGTTGGGGGTGTTTAGGGGAGTTGGATGGGTGTTAGTAAAGCAGAGGACTCCTGTGGCCACCTGGGGAGATGGAGCCTAGCCTCTCAGAAGCATCTCTGTGGCATCCCTTTGCCAGAGGGGCTCCTAGGGCACTGAGGGTCCTGGCCCTGCCTGGGTGGGTGGCACCAGCCAACAACTGTGTGGTCCTGAAGGAGCTGCCTGTGGCCCTGGAAAGGAGCACCTTGTGTGTGTGTGGGGGGGGAGTCTGGATCTGAAGCACTACTGGGTGACTCGCTCTGGGCCACCCCATGCATCTTGTGCTGCACAGCGTTGGGAGATATGGGTTTCTGTCCCTCTAGGTCCTTCCCTCCCCAACCAGTCAGTTTGCTGCTGGGAAGATCTGATGAGCTGAGTTCTGGGTTCTGGAGTGCTCTGGCTCTGATATCACTCTATGGAATGCACAGAGCCTTCTGGACGTGGGGTGTGATTTTTGACAGCGCACAGGCTGTGCTGTCCCACTGTGGTGTGTCATCAGGACCCTTTTCCTGCCAGCCCTGAGGCTCAGGACCCCTCTCGAGAGCCTTAGCCCCTGCCCCCATACACTGTGTTCTCCTTCCCTTCAACTTCTGTCCCACCATCTTCTCCTCCCACACTCTTCGTCAGCCCCCCCCAGGAGCAGCTGGGCACCCCATCCCGCGAAGTTCCTCCTCCCCCAGCCCCAGGTGGCTGCTTTTTATCCAGGTGTTTCCACGGGCAGAGCAGCTGGAGCTGCATGGCAAGAGCTCTGGCTGGAAGTCATCTGAGTGTGCGCTGTAAACCCCTCGCAGTGTGACCTGGACAGCGACCTAAACTCCACGAGCCTGATTTGTTCTATCTGTAGGCGGGAATATCAATGCTTGTCTTGCCCAGTTGTGGAGAGGATGTGAAGAGCCTGGCCATTTTAGGAAAGTGGTTATTCGCCTGGGAGCTCAGCGTGGCCCCTGGTTTATCTGGGGTTTCCAGGCCCCCTGCAGCACCTGGCAGATCTCAGGGATGAAGAATGGAGGATCTTGGGTTGTCCTCCTCATCCAGTCTTGGGGGGGCACGTCACCCCTCACTATGTCTTCCCCAGGGCCCCATGGAACCAGCTCTCCACTCCCTTTCTTCCCCACATCAGTCTGTTTTCCTTTCTTCCAGCTTTCATCACCACCTGACCTGACACTGGCTCCAGGTTTTCTGGGTGGGCTGGTGGACTGCCTCCTCAAGCAGAACGGAAGTTCAGGGGACCAGGAACACTGTCTTCTATTCTGTGCGGCCCTGTCCTCAGACCCCAGCTTAGAGACTGGAGCATAATAGGTGCTCAGTTAACTCGAGTTGGATGAATGGAAGTTTGCCTCCCAGCACAGTGCCAGGCTAGTCGCAGGCGGCTCAGAGATCCCTGCTGCCTGAAGCTTGGGAGCCCAGGGGGCTCCGGTTTCTTTCTCCAGGAAGGCATGCTCTCTAGGTCCTTCCCTCCACAGTCCCTGGGGAGCAGGGCCCGCAGCTCTGGCCTCCCCTCTGTCCCCTCCCCGGGATCTGGGGGCCATAGGCCTGTGCTCCCCGACCCCCGAGGCTGTCGGCTGTCAGGCGGGCGAGGGCCTGGGCATGCTCAGAGCGCGCAGATCCGGAGG